ATCGTCCAAGGGCTTGGTGTCGCTGATTTCTTGTCAATCTTGGCATGTGGTTGCAATTCAATAACGAATGAATGATATCCGATCTGGGTGGATTTGTACAGGGCAAGAAATGGGGGAACGCATGTGCATTTCAATTTGCACGCAACACACGTGCATCGGGTTACCATGGCCGTTGTCGTGATGCGGTTAGGCGATCGGTTTTATTGTCATCTGCTTTGTTCATTTGCTTTGTTCATCAAATTTCATTTTTTCCGGACAAGGTAATGTTAAATTTTAGAAACTTTGACAAAGTTACCCAGATATCTAAATGCCAACTTTTCATGCAATGCTACTTGGGGTGACGCTTTTTTTTGCGTTTCAGTATATATTCATGCATTGTATTGACTAATTATAAACATTAACTAATTTTATACATTGACTGATTTAATACATTAACTCAGATGTTACACATTGACTGATTTTACAAATTAACGGATTTTACACATTGACTGATTTTACACATTGACTGATTTTAAACATTAACTGAAATTCCAAATTAAACGATTTTACGCATTGACTGATTTTCCAAATTAAACGATTTTACACATTGACTGATTTTATACATTGACCTATTTTACACATTGACTGATTTTATACATTGACCTATTTTACACATTGAGTAATTTTATACATTGACCTATTTTACACTTTGACTGATTTTATACATTGACATATTTTACACATTGATTGATTTTACACACATTGGCCAATTTTACACATTGACTAATTTTAAACATTGACTGATTTGACACATTGACTGATTTCACACACTGACTGATTTGACACATCGGCTGATTTTACACATCAACTGATTTTTCAAAAAAACGGATTTTAAACATTGACTGATTTGACAAATCAACCGATTATACACACTGACTGATGTTACACATTGACCAATTGTAAACATTGACTGATTTGATACATCAACTGATTTTATACATTGACTGATTCCTTACATTGACTGATTTTAAACAACTGTTTTTTCCACATTAACTGATTTTACACATATGCGGATTTTACTAAACTTGCTTTTATTTCAACAAAAAAAACATCAATTACTACCAGAGTAGTCGACCCGTGAAGATCCGGGGTAGAATAGGTCTTCAGCAACCCATGCTTGCCGTAAGAGGCGACTAAGGGGATCGGGTGGTGAGGCTCGCTGACTTTGTTGATACATGTCATCGTATCCCAATTGCGTGGGTTTTAAATGGCGATCCCGTCCAAACGCTTCTCTACTCGTCTTCTGTTCGTTTCTATGCAAATCACCTCTCAACTTGCATCAAAGATAAACATTATATCAATTTTGTGAAAAAACTTCTTTTATAAATGATAAGCGTAGTACGTAGTTTCTATTTTGTTCGACTCATTATGATTGGACGGTTCGCCCCGATTATGTTTCTAGGTTTGTCAGCACCATTCCCGTGCTCGTGGGTTTCACCGAAGTGGTAAACGTCTGAGACCTGCATCACCTTCGGGCTTTCCTCCCACATTAAGCTGACACGCCGTGATATAGCTGGAATACTATTAAAAGCGGCGTTTAACCCAACTCACTCACTCACTCATTATGACTGGATATTTTGGCTGTTGTAACCGTTTAAAAAGAACATTTGACTTTCTCCAGACTGCATAATTCATTGAGCTACAACTGTAATGTTCCTGAATATAACTAACCACAGTTTTTTTCAGGAATCAAATTTAAATTTCCTTTTTGAAAAATATAAGTCTGAAAATGTTTTTAAATTGGATTGAATGGTGTGGGAGATCACGAAGCCGAGACAACGTGAGCGACGTCGCCGCTGTTATTAGATTACATAATGTTGGTGCAAAGACGGGGAGTTTGTTAGTTCCAGGTTTTGAAGGAATTTAGAATTAGATCAGAGATCGTAAGAATTCCAATGATGACAGCAATGAAGATAGTAATTAATACTAAATTATAAATAAATAGATAAATAAATAGATAAATAAATAAATAAATAAATAAATTTGAGTTTGAAACTGGTAAGTATGTTCCTATTTGAACCCTGAAGCCGTCGTGTTTTGTGGTTATCCTTGCCCTCATACGTTTAGAAATTTTCTTTCATGTGGGGAAAATACCAGTCTGATCTCGCTTGTGTTGAGAAAGTGCAGATCAATCGAGCCCCGAAAGACCTTTACTATTTCCGTAATGATAAGGGTTCTTATGGCTATCTGAAGTTCGACTCAGTATTTTGTAAGACGGGTCTACATAAAGTACCGTGTAACTAGCCGCGGAAGGATTCCTGTCGGCCATGTCTGGCGTCCATTACAATTGCCTAGATTTGTCTAAGTAGGATAGGAATGGATGCCGGAGGGCTTTTTACATAGGTCAACAGTCGACGCTAGTCACCTTTCAATAAATCACGGACTATTTTGACCGTGTCAGTTACGGCGATGGGAGACATAATTGAATCAACCAGTGAGTGAAAAGGTCGGATCCGCTTCCGGTATACACGGAGGAGAAAAGGGTTGATTTAGACAAGGCCGATAACTCATGTTACGATTAGGCGTGACTGTCATCCGGTGTTAGGAGTGAGGTTTGATTCATCGGAACGGCGCAGACAAACATCGAGCCATATGTACAGTAATGCGATGTCTATATTGCATCGGATTCATGGTTCCTGTGTTTGATTGAAGGTTTGTGTAGCGTAGGCAAATATTGACTGTTAACGCCACGGAGTGCGGGTTTAGACTGCAGGGAAGAAAGGAGAGTAGATTTAGATTTGGGTTCATCATCATCATCATCCTCATCCTCATCCTCCTCCTCATCATCATCATTCTCCTCCTCCTCCTCCTCCTCCTCATCATCATCACAGTCAGCAGCAGCAGCAGCAGCTTGTCACATTCATCATGATCACATCGGTGTTTTGGAAACAGGTGGTCCAATCGCTTCATTTCGCATGGCAGACTCACAAACCTATGATTGTAGGTTCGAATCCCACATTCGTCCTGATTATTTAATAGGTTTCTTAACGCCATACTCGTGCTCCGGCGCTTCATAAAGTGAAAGACGACTAGGAACTGCATGGCATTTTGCTTTCATTTATCTGATCCGCTGTGACGTAATTAACAACATACTGTTCAGGGCGACGTTGACAGCCTCCGTGGTCCAGTGGTAGAGCGTCCGCCCGGAGAGCGGAAGGTCCGGGGTTCGATCCCCGGCCGCGTTATACCAAAATACGTTAAAATATGGTACTTGTTGTTACCCTGCCTACCCTGTTACTCGGCGTCAAGAGGCTAAAACAAGGACTGGCTTGCTATGAGTCCATATACTGCGTCGGAGTAGGATATTTATGTTAAACTGCGGCCGTATCTCAGTGGACTAGCACTATAAAATTAATCGGCATTTGTCCGGACCAGCACAAGCAGACACACACACACACACACGTGCACGCACGTCGCTATATAAGTGCAATAATCTTGGACGCGACGTTAAACCCCATTTCACCTCAACTTACCTCAGGGCGACTTTGAATTCACTCACTACCATCAACATCATGATCATCACCGTCGTCGTTGTCGTCGTCATCATGGTCATCATCATCATCATCATCATCATCAGATTTATCATCACCACCACCATCCTCATCGTCGTTGTTGTTGTTATAATTATTATAATTATTAATCATTTACCTTCCTCTCTCACCCAGGCGCACCATTTCAACATGGACTTTAAACTCCACAATGAATTATGTCTCCAAGCCATGCATAAAATGCATATCCATTATATTGATCAAACGGAGCGCCAACGTTAGTGTTTATCACCTTGTCATAACCATTAAGGGATGTTCCCAAACGCCAAGAGATCACATTAAGGTGATTGCTTCGTCTAAATCGTTTAATTTTCTGTCAAAATACATCCCCTACATCGTTCGGCTGTTAGGCTCTCCTCCCCGCCTCCAGTAAGACAATAAAACAGAGGACTTTATGTAACACCACGCACTCGGAATGGGGAAAATTAACTTAACGAGCGCTTTTCCGTTCTTGTATAACAGCGAAGTGATTCCAAGCAGTTTGGATTAAAGGCGTATATTATGACTGATTTTCTCGTATATGGGGATGTGATGATACCATACATACACAGAACTCGGTATTTTTTATTTTCCGTGGGATTCAAATCAGAATAATGGGTTGGTCAATTGGGGTTGAAACCCCTTTGTACATTATTTCTGTTATATCACGGCATGTCAGCTTGATATGGGGGCAAGTAACGCAGGCCGTGGATGTTTCCTACTTTGGTTGAGTTGACTGGGGTTTATGTCCGCTTTTAACAGTATTCCAGTTATATCACGGCGTGTCAGCCAAATGTGGGAGGAAAGCCCGAAGTGATGCAGGTCTCAGACGTTTACCACTTTATAGAAACCGAGGAACGAGGGTATGGTGCTGACAAACCTAAAAACATAATCGGGGCGAACCGGGATTCGAACCGACAATCATAGGTTTCTGGCGTACCCAAGGGACGCAACTCTGCACAGCGAATCGCGGCGCTGTGGACGACTGGGCCACCCGTGCCCCCTGCAGTTCTCAGACGTTTACCACTTTGGTGAAACTCACGAGCACGGGCATGGTGCTGACAACACGCGGGGTGAAACTCACGAGCACGGGCATGGTGCTGACAACACGCGTGGTGAAAGCCACGAGCACGGGCATGGTGCTGACAACACGCGTGGTGAAACTCACGAGCACGGGCATGGTGCTGACAACACGCGTGGTGAAACTCACGAGCATGGGCATGGTGCTGACAACACGCGTGGTGAAAGCCACGAGCACGGGCATGGTGCTGACAACACGCGTGGTGAAACTCACGAGCACGGGCATGGTGCTGACAACACGCGTGGTGAAAGTCACGAGCATGGGCATGGTGCTGACAACACGCGGGGTGAGGCCAGACGAGGGATCCCGAACCAATCTGGTGACTCAGTTCTGAAAATAGAAATGGTGCTTGATCAGTGGCGGGATAAACCATATTTCCCAGTACAAGCAAGTGTGTCATTGCACTGCGTCTTCATGCCATCATCCCCTGGGTTGCCTGTTGTCACCCAAATGGTTCATTGCAGACGAGTCATTAACTATCTTTTGATTGTCAACAATTATGATGATAATGTCATCGCCGACGCTTTGTTTGGTAAATCAAACATTAATTATGGCAATGGGTGCTAATAAACGATGCTGGTGATGCTCTTGATAAAGGGGGCGGTCGGGTAGCCTAGTGGTTAAAGCGTCCGCTCGTCACGCCGATGACCCGGGTTCAATTCCCGACATAGGTACAATGTGTGAAGCCCATTTCTGGTGTCCCACGCCGTGATATTGCTGGAATATTGCTAAAAGCGGCGTAAAACCATACTCAATACTCACTTTTGATAAAGACTACAATGATATGAACGATCTTGCCACTTATATAGACATTGATGATTATGAGGACGAGAAAGTTGAAAATTGTGACGACCAACTTGCAAATATTAACAACGATGATGGCAGTAATGGCAATGATGACGGTGATCTTGATAATAATGATGACGGTGATCTTGATAATAATGATGACGATGATCTTGATAATAATGATGACGGTGATCTTGATAATAATGATGACGATGATCTTGATAATAATGATGACGGTGATCTTGATAATAATGATGACGGTGATCTTGATAATAATGATGACGATGATCTTGATAATAATGATGACGGTGATCTTGATAATAATGATGACGATGATCTTGATAATAATGATGACGATGATCTTGATAATAATGATGACGGTGATCTTGATAATAATGATGACGGTGATCTTGATAATAATGATGACGGTGATCTTGATAATAATGATGACGGTGATCTTGATAATAATGATGACGATGATCTTGATAATAATGATGACGGTGATCTTGATAATAATGATGACGGTGATCTTGATAATAATGATGACGGTGATCTTGATAATAATGATGACGATGATCTTGATAATAATGATGACGGTGATCTTGATAATAATGATGACGGTGATCTTGATAATAATGATGACGGTGATCTTGATAATAATGATGACGATGATCTTGATAATAATGATGACGGTGATCTTGATAATAATGATGACGGTGATCTTGATAATAATGATGACGGTGATCTTGATAATAATGATGACGGTGATCTTGATAATAATGATGACGGTGATCTTGATAATAATGATGACGGTGATCTTGATAATAATGATGACGATGATCTTGATAATAATGATGACGATGATCTTGATAATAATGATGACGGTGATCTTGAGAATAATGATGACGGTGATCTTGAGAATAATGATGACGATGATCTTGATAATAATGATGACGGTGATCTTGATAATAATGATGACGATGATCTTGATAATAATGATGACGGTGATCTTGATTATAATGATGAACATGATCTTGAATTAACAATGGTGATGATTTAATAACAGTGATGATGATTATATTATGACGACGATGAAAATAGTAACATTAATGACGATGATCGTGATGATGCCACGGCCATGTCAAAGCACAAAGACTTCAGCAACCCATTCTTGCGACTATAGGCGACTAACGGGATCGGGTGGTGAGGCTCACTGAGGCTGATGCATGTCATCGTATCCCAATTGCGTGGATCGATCATGATGTCAATCACTGTATTATCTGATCCAGACTCGATTATTTACAGACCGCCGTCAAATAGTTTGAATATTGGTGAGTGTGGCGTTATAGAACAAACAAACAAACAAACATACCTGGCTGGCTGGCCAGTGATAGTTTGAATGTAGCGAAAGCGCCTTTTCAACCTTCATTTCCCTCAAGGTCAACAAGGGAATGGCTTGAATAAAACAGGACATCATTTTCCAAAAACTATATATAATTACTTGACTCGAGAAGTCGTCTTCTGTTGACAAGAACTCAAGCTCTAAACTTTAATTCCATCCAACAGCCTATTTCGTAATACTGCCGTTTTTGCAGAGAGCTAAGTTACTTAGGCGAGCAAAAACGACTCCCGCAGGATGCACACTCGTCTTGGTAATGTTGTAGCATGGTAATGAAAGGGGAAGTGTTGGCCCACTAACTGGTGTAGAATGGTATATGAGCTTCGTCTTAAGGGATGAAGAATATATCTGGAGTTCTTAACGTCTTTACTGACGTATTATCTGGTTATTTGATGTAAGATTAACTAATTTCGCGGTTGATGGCTGATCATTGATTTCAAAGGTGAAGGACGCCGAGGTCAAAGGTGAACGTCGCAAGGGTAAGACTTTGCTGTGGCATTCGTTCAATATTCTTTGCTAGAGTTCGCAGTCGAGCTTACAACAAGAATTCATATTCTGAATACGATCATTGTTTAAGTGCAATATCAAAATCGAATACTTGGAATTATTTGCAGTTGCTATGACAATAAGATATGATATTGACTCTGAGAGAAATGTGTATTATGCTTACATAATTATATCATAAACGTTACGTTTTATTATGTTTCTGGAAAGAAGTCAGAGAACACATGACATATACTGCTCATAAAAGTTAGACAACACTCAATGAACTATAGTCATGTGAAAAAATGAACGTGCTTTAACTTCTTTCTGTAGTACGTCACGCTTGACATTTAAAGCTGCATTCAAACACTGCAGCACGAAGAAAAGTATACGTGCGGCAAAATGTTGTCTACCGAGTGTCACTACATTGTCAAACAATAACATGCCGCCTTGTTATTATCATATTATCATGGACCGGGACGATATGATATTTAAACTAAACAATCGTTTCACGACCAAATTGATGTCCTCATGACATTCAACTTCGTGTTACGGTTTTGTTGTGTGTCAGTGTGTGATTAGTGTGTGATCAGTGTGTGTCAGTGTGTGATCACTGTGTGAGTGAGTGAGTGAGTGAGTTGATCTATCAGACAATGGAAACTCGTTAACCCGGACGGACTTGCTAGGCACCGTCCAGATTAACGGGGTTTCAATGTACAAGATATCACGGTTCACTCACAAAGCAGCTAGACACATCGCTATCAAAAATATATGATATTTAAAATGTCTTTTCTTTAAAACTGACAGACAAAAGAAAGAGTACACTTGAAAATTTAATTTGACTAACGAGTTAAAATGTTATCAAAACGTCACTAGGTTGGAAGCAGCTGCCGAAACACTGCAAGATTCGGTCCAAAACCTAACTGTGATGCCCGTATGAAATACATCACCATCGGATAACCATTTGTTGCATTTTAATTATAAGCCACCATCATACATAGGTGCATACATGAGTGAGTGCGTTGGGTTTAACGCCGCTTTTCACATTATTCTAGTTATTTTACGGCGTGTCAGCTTAATGTTGAAGAAAGCCCGAAGCGATGCAAGTCTCAGACGTTAACTACTTCGGTGAAACCCATGAGCACGGGTATGGTGCTGACAAACCTAGAAACATAATCGGGGCGAACCGGGATTCGAACCCACAATCATCGGTTCCTGGCGTGTCCAAGGGACGCAATGCATGCATGATTCCCGGCAGGTTATGTAATTCTGACCGAACAGTTGTTTGTCTCTTAAAGAGGCTCTCCGCCCTGGCGTGCTAGCAGCCCGACTTAGACAGGCCGGGAAACCTGGATGAGCATATATCAACTCTGTTCTTGTTCAAGGACGCGGCTAAATGCCAGCATATTGATCGAGGGGTTAGTTTCGCTGACTTAGTTGATTGCATGTCACCGTTCCCTATTGCGTGGATCGATGCTCATGATGTCACTCTCAGGGTTGTCAGTCCAGACTCGATTATTTACAGACCGCATCAAACGGCAGGAATAAAGTTGAGTGCGATGTTCAACAGAAAACATCAATGAGTTAAACGAAACAATCTTGTACTCACGTGCGAAGTATATGTAAATCTATATGTAAAGTAAAGTCGTCTAAGGCGCCGCGATTCGCAGTGCAGAGTTTCGTCCCTTGGACACGCCAGGAACCTATGATTGTGGGTTCGAATCCTGGTTCGCCCCGATTATGTTTCCAGGTTTGTCAGCGCCATACCCGTGCTCGTGGGTTTCACCGAAGTTGTGAACGTCTGAGACCTGCATCACTTCGGGCTTTCCTCCCACAGTAAGCTGACACGCCGTAAAATAACAGGAATACTTTTAAAAGCGGCGTTAAAACCAATTATCTCACTCACTCACACACTAAGAGTAAGGATTATTTGAAGTTCAAGACGTCCATGTCGTAATCGCAGGGTGTACGGATGGCCACGTCGTCTAAGGCGCCGCAATTCGCCGTACAGAGTTAAGTCCCTTTTTTGTGTGGTTTCGAATCCTGGTTCGTTCTAAACATAGCTGGTGGATTTCACCAAAGTGGTAAACGACTTAAAGCTGAATTATTTCAACTTGCAGGTTGTGATATAACTGAGATATTGTTTAAAACGACATTAAACTCACTCTGAACTTCAGACAAATCATTGGGTACATTGTCTCCAGCTGGGATCGTCGTGCGAAACAATGGTCATAGCTCTAATACCCTCAAACAACCCTAAGTGAGTCTTAGCGCTAAGATCGCTTCGTGTAACGGACCCTGATCACGAACCAGACATCAACTCAGAGACACGTTCGTACTCCTCGTTAAGGTATGACATCAATGTAGAAAGTGTGCTTCTAAGCTATTAACAATTCATTTCAGTGTCTTCGAAAGGCAGAACCTATTCGTCAAATCTACAAATTCCTGCTGATAGCAATTTCAACCACGTGATCAAGTTTCTTTGAAAGCTGTCATATATGGCCACCATGCTGTGACATTTCTTCCTGAAGACGCCATTCGGGGGATCGGTGACACTGAACAGACTCGTAACGAGAACGTGAGTGGGTGTCTTGGAACTTTCTCTTTACCACTCTTAGTACCTTACTGCCAATCCTGTACAGGGTTTGAAAACACCATTGACGCCTATTAACTTTTCCAACGACTGGATTCAAATTTCAACCTCAGATGCGAAACAGGCGATTAAGGTGCCACCAGAGCGTCTGACCTACGCGAAAGAAGGTGTTGGTGCCAAACATTCGTCAAAATCTCCTCGAAATTTCTCATAAAAGTTCTCAGAATAGAGCCAGGTTATTGCACCTATTCATCATATTTCACGGAGGAATCGGATTCCGGTTCCGCTGATCTGATCAACATTTAAGGATTTTGCCGATTGGGATCGCCTAAATAATTACGCTTATATTTGAGTCAAATCTACCGTAAGAACAAAACCGTTACATTTCCCGATCGTTTAAACCAGTTGCGACATTAACGGTTCTTTGAAGAGCCACATTGCACGTGGGAATTGTCGTCGGTCTGGTCAGCTGACCATGACCAACAAAGCCTGAACGCTGTCAACTGTGAACACTGTGTGAGAGAGTATACCCCAAAGAAAGTGGACAGAGTGGTTTAATCGTTCACCAAGCTCAGAGGAAACGATCTCTGTTAATAACAGTGAGTGCACATTGAGACTGGCGGTGCTGTTAACATCAGAATCGATACCGACAACGGTAAGGTTGTTTCCAGGGGGTACGGGAGCGAGCTGTATTCAGTCTGGATTATCATTCGTATTTGGATTACCTTTGTGTTTTCGAGGACTTTCAGGTAAGTCTTCAACCTATATATGCAGTGGATGGATACTAGAAGCTTTTTGAAAGCCAAACCGGCAATTGAGCCATGTTAAATCAGCTGTACGACTCACTGGCCGAAGCACGACGAAAGTGTGTGCGTGTTTTGGCAGCGTTGTCAGTAGACCAAACATAAAGTACTACCTTTCAACCAACATCTGCATATGAGTTTAATAGAACATGTTATTCGCATTATAATTTATATCTTTATACATGCATGCCAAGACTGCGGCGAAGATGTCGCTGAAAGTAAACAAAACATGATTTTGGTAATCAGTTGTCACAATGGTAATATTGTGGCTTTATATCATGTACTAGGATAAAAAATACGCACTTAGCTATTGTAGCGCTCTCACAACTGTGTCGCTGATTGGCAAGTGTTTCCTAAAGTAAACCCGTCTCCAAGTTTCAGAAAATCCTGCACAGTGTATTATTTATATTCAAAATGAACCTAGCCGCTGAGCTACAGAAAGTACACACTTGAAAATAGGATTTGACCAAAACGTTAAAAAGGTTGTGAGAACGTCACTAGGCTGAAAACAGTCGCCGAAACACTGCAAACTTAAGGCCCAAAACACAACTATGACACCCGTATAAAATACATCACCATCGAATGACCATCTAGTGTTGTTGCAATTCAGCCACGTTCAAACATGGGAGCGGACTTTGTGTTGTCCGGCGGTTTATTAACATAAAATATCATTTACCTACATTGTCTCAACAATCAAATATATCATCTAAATACATTATCATTGTGTGTTCCAAAAAGACAATATTAATAGACAACTGAAATTGGTATGATTCTTCTTCTCTGTGTGATTAAAACTTGTACATGGACATGGCACTTTTGAAACACTTCAGTGACACTTGAGTCGGTCTGTTTGTGGAAACGGGGACTTTTTTATGGTATTTGGGTAGGTAAGTTGAGAGAAATTAGAACATATATTATTACTATTGTAACTTTTTTGATACATCCATGTGTGGCAATGGCATGTAAAATATACATTGTTTTTGCTCGACTGTCTTTAATGTAATCAAAGTGAGTAACTATGTACGCCTGAGCGCAATCGGTATCGATTACCAGCAGAAAAAGATTTCATAGAGCATAACAGGCAAAATAGTGATGTTAATTATACATGATCAATAAAAATAAGTGATGAAACCAGGTGTTTGCAAAAACACTTACAGCATATGTATGTGAACTCTTCTCATGAGGGGGCGGTCGGGTAG